CCTCGGCACTTTGAAGGACACTTTCATAGTCTCCCCACACGCGAGCACCGTGCACGACAAATATGTAAAAGATGTGTTTTTTTCAGTCCGAGTCCCAACGGCGCCGAGGTCACTGAGCCGGTGATTAACAGCTTGACGTTACGTGTGAAGAATTCAAAGCCAACACACTGCTCTCCGTTCTTCCTTCGCTCTCTTCCTTCCCCTTTTTCCTGTCTGTCTTCATGTCGATTTCTGAATTCTTCTCTGTTCTCATTCCCTTTCCCCCCCCCATCCTAATCTTTTTTAAGCCTCCTGCTGGCATTTAACAAACGGTTAGGCTTCATAGTCAGGCTTACCTTGGGTGGGTTTTCTATTCTTTTCTGTGTGTGTGTGTGTGTGTGTGTGTGTGTGTGTGTGTGTGTGTGTGTGTGTGTGTGTGTGTGTGTGTGTGTGTGTGTGTGTGTGTGTGTGTGTGTGTGTGCGCACGCCTCCTGATTAGCGGTTCAATTGAATCTGTCCGTTCGATGATGAGTCTCAGGGTGAAGGGAAGACATTATGTGGCTGCAGAACATGAGGGAATGCAATGCCTCCTTCCTTCCTCCCCCCTTTCCTCCCTCCTTTCCTCCCCTCTTAAAGCCAAACCAGCAAATGTTAACATGACAGGAATCATTGCCTCATCTCGCATGCTACTACAGAGCAAGAGGGGGAAACTCCACGGGGAGAAGTGATGGTTTTCAGATAAGTCATGTGAACCGGAACGCTCGCTCCAAAGTGGATTTTTTGATATTAATCTGTGTTTTTGTTTTGCTGCAGCTATTCAGAGCGTGATGTCCAGCGGTGACGCTCTGACGCCGGGGAAGACGGGCGGCGTGGGGTCGGCCATCTTTAACCTCCATGATAACGGCACGCTGGACTACCAGGTACGCATCTGTGCCATGTTGGATTTTGTTTTATGACGACACTTAACTTGGAGATGAACTTACATGACAGATAATATTACAGAGTTATAAGGAATATAATTTATTCCATTCTGTAAACAATCCAGTGCCCCTTAAATGGTTACTTAAGAAAGAGTAGACAACATGTGATCTTTGCCTAAAATGTGTGTTTTTTTCAAAGGAAATATGAAAAAAACGAGTTAAGGGGAAACAAACAATCCAAAGCTTGAAACCTCCATGAATGAGTCTCTAACCCTTCCTCCTGACCTCTGACCTCTTCTCCTCCAGGTTCAGGTGGCAGGTCTCTCCTCTGAGTTCCTGGGTCTCACCATCGAGCTGAAGCCCAGACGGAGGAACAAACGCTCGGTCCTGTACGACCTGACTCCAGAGTACGACCTGACGTCGGGCCGGGCGCAGGGCAGCTGGAGCCGACTGGAGGCCAGGCACATCCACATGCTGCTGCAGAACGAGCTGTTCATCAACGTGGCCACCAAGCACAGCCAGGAGGGGGAGGTCAGGGGTCAGATCAGAGCCCTGCTGTACAGCGGACTGGAGGCGCCTAGACACGGTGAGATACTTGTGTTTACTTCCACATCTCCATAACATCAGAGATGGAGAAAGTACACACATCCTTTACTCAAGTAGAAGTACAGATACTTGTGTTTCAAAATACTAGAAGTAGAAGTACCAACTAAACTTCTTTACTCAAGTAAAAGTAAAGAGGCTTTGAAATGTACTTCAGTAAAAAGTACCCATAACTAGCAGCTGTTTTAAAGAGTACCTGACCTCCCTTTATATTAATAGAACAATAATGTCATTGTTAGCTAATGAATGTTTCCATGCTGAACAACGGCAACATGACAACGTTTCCATTGGTCCCTCTTCTTTAGAGAAGACCAGGAAATGATGGATACACGGATCGTGTTCAAATCAATAGGCACGCAATGACTCTAAATAATAATGATCACGCCACCAAACACACATTCAGACTAAAGGAACCAGCCTGTTTGGAAAATGAGAGAAGTAGAAAGTACAGGTATTTGAGTTCAACATGTAAGAAGTAGAAAGTACAGGTATTAGTGTTCAACATGTAAGAAGTAGAAAGTACAGGTATTAGTGTTCAACATGTAAGAAGTAGAAAGTACAGGTATTTGTGTTCAACATGTAAGAAGTAGAAAGTACAGGTATTTGTGTTCAACATGTAAGAAGTAGAAAGTACAGGTATTAGTGTTCAACATGGAGAAAGAATCGCAAGATGTAGAACTTGGGTTTATAGGACATAGAATAGATGAAGAATGCGTAACCTTGGGTTTATGGACATGAAAGATGAAGGAATGTAAGAACTTGTGTCTTTGGGACATGAAAGATGAAGAAATGTACAACTTGTGAGGGGGAGAGAGAGTGGACATGGAAAGATGAAGGATGTACAACTTGAGTTATGTGGACATGGAAAGATGAAGAGATCCTTTCTACACTTGTTCATTCAATGGACTTCACGACAGCATGAAGGATGTCACCACACAACATGTATAACGGACACATGACAAGCACAGACATACAGTACACCACTTCGCACACACACACACACATCCACAGACACACGATGATGTATGTATGGAGAAGAAAGAGTGAAGAAATGGGATACAAGACTTGTGATTATGGAAATGAAAGATGAAGAAATGTACAACCTTGAGTTTATGGACATTGAAAGATGAACCAATGTACAACTTGAGTTTAATGGCAGGATGAAAGA